TTGTTGTCGTCATTGGGAATTTGTGTAATCCCCTCGGTGTATCTTCCCTTTTCTTCCTCCTTGGCACACGTCCTGTTTCCATCATGACTTCCTCATTAGGTCGTATGTAGTTTGGTGACGTGACGAGTATAGAGGTGGGTCGCAGGTGTGAGATCGGCTGAGAAATGCTTCCTTGCAAATATAAAAGGAGTTTGAGAGATGTCGGATGTTTGAATACGACCCCCAGACAGACCTAAATCCATTCGTGAATCGTATATTGGTGGTGATGAGTTTTTGTTCGACCTTGTTCCGGCCGTGAAATCTCTGTCGACTGATTTTTCGACCAAAATCTCGAGTGCAACTCCTTCAAGTCGGAAATCCATCAAAAAAAAAAGCATCCCACCCTTTGTCGTAACTGAATCTCAAGTTTGGGAGAATATTTCACTCCCAGGCTCGTAGAGGACACCACTTACAGGTGTTCAGCCTTCGTCCTCCAAACAGAGAACAGTTTGTTTGTTTGTCTATTCATTTAGGTCCTAGGTCTAACCCGTTATCCCCGAAGAGTCAAGGACCGGCTTTCACAGCCAAGATCCAATCTCTGATAAGCCCAACTTGATCCCACCGCATGAACCACTAAACAATAAATATATATAGTTTAAAATTCGCAGCGGTACATAAATTCAACCTTTGAAACCAAACTCCTACCCACAAAACTATCCAGCCCTGCAGATTTCACAATTTCTGGTCAGAAAATAAATCTTCTCGCCTTGTATTCCTTCCTATCATATTATCTATATGACTAATTTATATCATCCTCGATGAGATCAGAGGACGAATTTGTAGATGGCAACCCAAAACAGCAGGTTTCCTTAACAAATTTTTTGACAATTTCGGGACACTTTGGCCCGAGAAGCTTTTGGTTGAAGTCACTATGTGAAAATCTCCCTCTGAGCCGACAGTGAATAAAATAGGTTGAGGTGGTCTGCTCTACACAGGTACACTCCATGAGAGCGTCCTATTGTTGAAACGGCGATGATACGCCACGAAATTGCCATGGCCCGTACGAGCTGCAATCAGATTTCGGAGTAGGAACCTCGAAAGTCCCAGCTCAGGTGGTTTTCGTCGTCGCATGAGCAGGTCGAGCTTGCGATATCGGGGCGGGCAAGCTTCGTTCCACCATTTGTCGAGCAATGCTTGCCGCAAACGATTCATTTAGCCATGCAGAAATGCCGGAGTTATGGATTCTGGCCGTATTTCAGAGCTAGGCAGCTTTCGTAGGCCAGACCGGGCGGCCGAGTCAGCTTCTAGGTTACCCTGAATTCTAGAATGTCCAGGTACCCATTTAATTATTACACGAGCTGATTTGGACAACTCACGAAATTTCCGTACTTCGTCGTGGCTTGTGGTGGACTTGCCTGTCTCAAGTGCGTTGATCGCCTGTTGACTATCCATTAGTAGGTAGACTCGTTGTCTCGCGCTCTGGAGTCCCAATGCTGCTTCAAGAGCCTTCCTTGCCCCGGTGATTTCCGCATCTAAAGCCTCCCCCCCATGCCTGATGCCACTTCCCGTGAGCAAAGTCTGCCCGTCTCTCTTCAGAACGAAGCCCCACACAGAGCGTCCATTCCCTTCCGATGAGCCATCCGAGTAGGCACAAATTTCCGACTTCGACACCTGGTTGATCCATTGTCTACATTTTTCAATTTGCTCTTCTTTAGATCCTGCTTTCTGTAAGTAGGATGTAGGTGGTAGTGCTTCCGCACCCTCTGCTTCTGGTAATTGTCGATACGCTCGCTGTACTCGTGACATTATTACTTCAGGAACCGAATTCCCTCAATTTCTAATCTTGTATTTCAGCGTGCCTATATTTGGGCACATAGCCGCACTAACCCTCAGCGGATGGCGGTCATCCAGAGTTTTGAGCCTGACTGAGAGTCGAAGTCGATTACTCTCCAGAATGATTTTGCCCGGTAGAATTCCACCTTCTCTATGCAGTACAACTTTCGCTGTCGTCCTCATTACCGGGAGAGCAGCTTGTAGTCCCATCAAGACAGCCTTGTCAATCATGCCACATAGATGTGCCGTTGGTGGGGTTGTCATGCTTTTTCTCGTAGGGCGTTTGAGACCAGGCCACCAGATCTCCGCACCAAATGTCGCAATAGGAACAACACACATGCCGGCTGCTCTGATAAGCGCTCCTGCTAGGGAACAGTGTTGTAGTGTGAGATAAAAGTAGCTGACTCATTATAGCCCAGTAATCTAGATAATCTATCGAGTCGCGTAGCTGTATAGAAGATTGGATTGAAAGCCCAGTTAATTTGTCTTTTGTGATTCGACCGACTAGAAGTAGATGGATAGGGTCTATAGATGAGAAGAAATTGTTATAATACTAAAGTGAAGTTGCTGGGACAGCTACTTCTCCAAGTTGACCTCAAAAGTTCGCTTTCCTTGACTGATTAGCGCTGCCTCTTACCTGAACTCGGGACTGAACGAGACGCAGGAACATCAAAGAGATAATTCACATGTGGTCTTGGAGAGAGGAAAATAGGGTCTCGGTCTCATGTGTTGGCATTGATAAAGCCGTTACAGAATTGATGGCGAGTAGGGAGCACTGTGTACTTACTATTGCCATTACCCCAAGCAGAATATAAATTTCAAAACTAAGCAGTGAATGAAAAGATTAATGCAATTGGAAAAATATATGACGGAATCCACCAAGTGAACAATATAGGCGCACTTCCTAAAACATAATATCTAAAATCAATAGACATAAGATTGATGAGATTAGGTGTTTTTATCGAATAGATTCTCTGCTGTGAACATTATTGCTACATGCACCTATGAGGGCTAAATGAAACACAATTCCTCTCTCGGAATTTACACGGCAAGTTGAGCTGTTGTCTTCAAATACCTTCGTTACAAGAGATTAGTTAAATTGCTCTGAGCTTATTATATTTCAGACGATAGCGTTCACTCTGTTTTGGCTAGAGAAAAGACAAGGGCTACCTTCCTGTATCTACTCGAAAGGGTTCCATAGCTACCCACCGACGTAACTGATATCCCGAATATCTTGATTAGGTTGGTGTACATGTTACTAAATAAACCGAAAAGAGCCATCATTGTACAATATACTTCATCTACATCAACAATCCAAAACTTTATCTTTAACTGCTAAAATACTGCGGACTCAACCCAGTCAAAATCAGAAAAAATTACCCAAGCATTAGCTTCACGTTCCTTGGAATTTCATTAATTCGCTGCATTCACCATTATGAAAAAATATCTTAGCGCTCATCCCTATGAAAAGAAGTCCGATTTGACATTAAAAATCTTATCTCTATCAAACGCATGAGCAAAAATTGTGTTGTGCACACTAGATGGAGAGTTTTTTTCTCGACAAGTTAGAAATAAAATAATGTTAGCAGCTACATCCAACCAATTATTTTTCAAGATCGATAGACCTTTTTGAATTTCTGTTTGGGCTAGGTGGACTGATGACGGTGGTTGGTGTAACGGGTGAAATTTCACCTTCAGCTTGTGCTTCTCTTCCCGTATTTGTCTCACCTACTTCGGAAATGCTAGATGCTTTTTCTCTCCTGCGCCGCCTTGCTTTTCGTTCTTCTTCGGCAGTATCGCGCCGTCGCGAACGGCGAAAACTCTCTCGACGATCATTAATTTCATCTTCTTCTACAATAGTATCAGAACCACGCATGCCTTGAAGAAGAAGTGCTGCTCGCTCTGCAACATCATCATTTCCTTTTGGGGTTGTACAGATAGAGTCAGGGCTTTTAATTGACTCAGGACTCTTAATTAATTCCTCCTCAATCTCTGGTATTTCGTCTGCGTCGGGGATAGGTTGTCCAGAGGCCACTCGTATTTGATGTTTACTTTGAAGACGTGCTCGACGCCTTCTATCTCGTTGATCTCTGGTTTGTGGAGCTGCAGCCCGAAGTTTCTCGAGTAGAGAGTCCATTGCTCCGGTAGACACTGGGGATGGTGGTGTACTACCGTCAGAGGATCCATTCGGTTTAAGTTGAGCTTGCTTACGCTTCATTGACGCTTCATTTCGTTTCCGCATAGCCTCGAGAGCAATATTTTTTTCTCTGGACTTTTTCCATTCATTGACAAAAATTGCAAGTTTGGCAAAGAGGTCCCGCCTAGCGTTTTCGTCACAAGGATCTTCTCCGTAGAACGTCATGATATTGTCATACACTCGCACCATATCTTCTAAGTACAGTTGCATCTGTTCAGCTTTCCATCGAGCGTCTTTCATGGATCTCAATACGATTTGGCAAACACGATCCTGTGGATGGAACTTCTTTGGATCACTCAAATTACCAGAGTCAAGTGACATTTGTACATTCTTAATATTATCCACGTATCGTTTAGCATCTTGAGTGAGTTGTTCAACGTTAATTTTCTGAGCTGTTATGACACCAGAAATTTCATCAGTGAAGTTTTCCCATTCCGGATATTGGTTACGAACGATACGTTCTACTAAGTCGGCAAAAGTAGTCTCATTCTTATCATCTTTTACCATCCCTAAACGCGCCAGTGAACTAAGCTTGAAGCCACTGGCTTGCTTATTAGAGTCATTCATGTAGTTACCAATATCAAGGATTAGCCCAAGGATATTTAGTAAAGAGACCGAATCACGTAGTGATTCAGCAACTACTACAACCTGCTTCAACTTGCTAGAAATTTCTTCATACTCGGCATGAAAGGTGCGTGTGAGAGCTAGCGCGCGCATCCTTGCTTTCCAATAATGATGGAGTTCGTAGGCTGTCTGAAGATATATCTGATCTTCCCTAGTGAGTTCAGAGGGGTCAGATTCGCTCTCTACTTTGTTGAAATCAGTTCCAACCCAGTCCTTGCTGTAAGGCGCCATAGATTTGGCTATACTTTCAGGTAGGTTACACATATCATCTTTTTGAAAGAAATCCATTACTACAGGGTTGTCAATGACTTCCGTGTCGCAATGTATAACCATCTGTACAACTTTTTCGGCAGGATAAGCTGAGAATTTAGCAAGCGAGATTTCTGAATAATTTAGTTATATTCTGTTCATTAGTTACAAAGAACTTACGAAAAGATCGCATAAGATCGCTGGATATAATTTGTTTCTTTTCCGACTTTTTTGCGCCTGCTTTACCAAGTCTCTTTATTTCTTTCGCCATAAAAAGCTTTTCGACTTCGTCTAGCACCCCTTTTCGAGTAAGTTCAGCATACTTTTCTTCTTTTTCTGCAGCTGTTGGAGTATGAGCTGCCCAAAGAGTTGTCAGGGGGCTATCGACTTTCTCCCAGTGCAAAGGTTTCAGCTTTTTCTTGGGGCGGGCGAATGGTAGACCTATCCCAGGTACTACACCGTAAGGTTTGGTGATAGGCAATTTACCGAGAATCTTTCCAGGCATAGGAGGAGGAGGAGGTGTTTTTCCAGAAAGCTTTGATCCAGGCATTGGTGGCGGAGGCGGCGGTGGTGGTGGAGCTATACTAGACAGTTTGGACCCAGGCATGGGAGGAGGAGGAGGAGGAGGAGGAGGCGGCGGAGGAGGCGGCGGAGGAGGAGGCGGAGGAGGCGGCGGTGGTGGTGCTATACTAGAAATGTTAGATCCAGGCATTGGTGGAAGCGGCGGTGCTGGTGGTGGTAGAGGATTGATTTCAGAAATTTGAGTCAATGATTTCGGTGGAGGCGGTGGGCCACGTAATTCAGAGGTTTGTTCTGGAATCGGGATTGTTGAAAGAGGCAAAGATTGAATATTATCGGAGTCTTTTCTAAGTACCGCGTCAGAATGCCCTGCGGCCAGAGAAACGATTTCATTTCCGCGCTGATAACCAGTCACAGTTGTATTAGTAACTTCTGTTTCGAGATTTTTAACTGTGGTACTCAGTTTCGCATATGAATCAAGCTCAGATGGATCCAGAATAGTAGCATCAATTTTAGCATCGGTAATTTTATATACTATTTCGTTAGAAACACCTGACTTTGACGTGCTAGTGTCATTATCTGGAGCCGTTTCATTAAGCTTTTTTGCCACATCTGTCTGAGAAACTGTTGAAGATAGGCTAGTGTTAGTAGCTGTATAATTATTCACTTCAATATTCTTTGATAAATCAACATTATCCGTGATTAACCTGGACTCTGGTATAGGAGAAATATTTGGATCGATTCTTGAAGACGAAGGCCTCTTGGTATATATATCAGTACCCATAGTCTCATCATCGGTTGTGGTATATCGTCGAACCTTGGCTTTCATCTCATCCATTAGTTCGTGTGAGTGATCGGGACGCCTGAATCCTTCTTCTTGTGACTCAAGGAGAATTTTACTATCTTCATTTTCGTTTTCTATCAGTATTCCATCTGGAGTTATTTGCCTGCTGGCGACTTTTGTTTGCCGGACAACACTGCCGAGCACGCTATTTTGGTAGCTTCTTGGTATAGTTTGGGATTCAGACTGAGGTACTACACCGTCCATCTCTTCACGAAGTGCCCGTAGTCTATCAGATGGACCAGAAGGGTCTGCCCATGTTCGTCCTTCTAACTTGAACTGAGTTTTTTGGCGCTCAATTAGCATCTCAAGCCTGTCCATTAGTTTTTCACGATCAATAATACCGTTCGATTTTGGCTCATTTGTATCTGCCAATACGCCAGTTCGGGCTTTACTTGCATTTGAGGCCGCGATTTCTTGCGCATCTCGGAGCATAAGGTAGAGCTCTCTTGTCTCTAACTCATTACGCTGCGCTTCCTTAGCCCTTACGGCATGGATATTTTCAACATCTAGCTTAAGTGCATCAGTCTGACGTCTTTGGATTTCAATAACATGAGCTTGTTCATCTATTTGCTTTTGCAATTTTGCCACCACTCCATCAGTGCCAAGCTCAATCTGTGCTCTCATTTCATCACGTTCAGCAATGGCTGAATCGGCAATTTGTCGAGCCTGCACGGCTTCATCAAGGGCTTGGCGGGCTTCGGAATCTGTATGGAGCTTATCCAGCAAGCTCTGAACTGTGAAGTTCAGACTCTGTTTTAGGTCCATGTCTGGCAGACGACGATCCATTGCAACATAGCTGAGCATGGAATCAACAAGTTGGAACATTCTTAAACGCTCCTCACCTTGATTGTCTCGTAGTAGGAGGAGATGTTGTAGTGATGACACAAAGTAATCTTGAGTTCTACTTCCCCGAACCTTTTGCATGATAGCATCAACAATCTGAACTGGATCGTCAAGGTCTTTCACCATTCCTTCTATACTATCCTTCATACTACTATTCTCATGCTCTAGAAGATCCTCATAGTCTATAGCTTCATTGGTTCGAAATCTTTCGATCTGCTTGTCGATAACTTCATACTGAAATCCTTCCATTTTGGTGAGGATTCGTTTGATTCCACATGCTGTAAATTGGGCTCTGATGTGGACGCGGAGTTGTAAGTCCTTGTCTGGAGCGTCAATCATCATGTTGATAAGAATTAAGCTTGCAACTGCATATTCCATCAAGAGATTTTCCATTCCGATACCACCATTTCTAAGTTCATCACTCGCCCCAACAAGACTTCCCATTTTACCGCGTCCATCAATGGTTACCTCGACTACACGCATCCACGCATCAAATCTCCCGTTCTCGCCATACTGGGTCTTTACATAGTCCAAGGCCTGGATTACTTTGCGATGACCTTCGCCGTCAGCCCAATGACATAAGAATGTTAGCACTTCGCTGACTAGTTTTCTAGATGTTAATCTAGGTGAAGTGAGAGACGTAGTCAATGCGACAATAATTTGTTGATGAGCAAGTGCATCGTCTGCTCCGTATTTGTTATTCATGACCGCTTTCAAACATTTCACGATATCATATTCCCGTTCAAGATCTTTCTCGCTGCTTGAGCCATCTACAGGAGCTGGTCCTTGAGCTTGTTTTCTATTTAACTTTCCGAGGACGTTGGTGAGGGCTACTTGACCTTGACATTCGACAAATATCTTGACCCACCCAATAGGCTGTGTCCGTAAACTGACGGCTAGGCTTTGAAGTTGCTTCGCAGTGATGGTATTATCCATTACTTTTTTCACAAACCACTCTGGTGTTCCTTCCTCCTCGGTGTTTGCGAGCATATCTACTTCGCGACCACTGGATCCATACTGTGCAATACGCGTCCTTCTGCTTTCTCCTTGATATTTTGTGAGCCGATCTTGGTGAACTAAAGTCCACTTCTTTTCAGGAGGATATGCCATCATCTGTCGCTTAGCTTCTTCCGGTAAATAGTTCCATCCCCTTTTGTGCATGAGGGATAGGAACTTCTCATCGATTATTCTTTCATCGCTAGGTATGTTCGTGTTGGAAGCTTCAAGTGCATATGACGGGGCTGATTTCATGAGCTTATTTGTATCCTTAAACGTAGAATAATAAGGCGATAAGTTGGTCAAAATAGAACTATTAGATTGAGAGTGTGGTAGACCGGTGCGTGCTGAATTTCCCGAGAAGACACTTGATCGTTCTGTGGCTGATTCTACGTTTGGTTGATCGAATGAACTCCTTCCATAGATAGATGATGATGCTAATGAGTTAGCTGGACATATTTCTTATCTTGGGTTTGAGCCACTCATACCACTTGCTCCGCTTGCCCTTCCGGAGCCCCATTGCTGTGTCTGAATTTTACCTCCGCTGGATGTCATTGTCATGGTCGAGTTACTTCGAGATCCTGGTGGCTGAGGAGTTCCGTTAGATGAGCCTGGTGGCGTTTCAAATGATGGATATTGGTGATAGTCAGCAGTTGCTCTATTTAGTTGATGGGGTTGAGGTTCTCTTCGTTGTGGCATCTGATCACTTCTAGGTAGATACTCTACGGGAATTGGGGAGCGGACATCTGTCGCTAGACTGTCGTAAGGAATAGAGGTCATGACACCAGCCATCATATTCAAGCCAGATGGATCCGCGCCAGGCGAATTTGGGCTATCATCAGTCGATATAATTGAGGAAGAATTTCTTGTATGCCGGGATGACCGTGGTGATTTTGATGTATTCGTTTTTGTCTTATCCAATTCAGTTCCAAGCACCTCTTCGTTGGTATTCCTCTTTTCCTTCTGTTTCGAACGTGAGAAAAAGGATATCCCGGAAGTGCCAGCCTTAGATTTGGTTTCTCCAGACATTTTAGGTCTAACATAGAGCTCCAAATCGGTTGTGGTACGAAACGTTTGTATTTATCTCTTTTACTGAGGTAGGGGGATTGTTGAAAGTGATGCTAGAATTCTCGATCGCCTAGTTCTAAACTCCTACCATTATGCTATCCGTTTCTTGAAATTGATCTTATGGTGCATTCAAAGGACTAGAATTAGCACAGTGCTTGCGAGATTCTGTGATATGATGAACCATGGTTAGTTTTAATTCCTTCACTATTTCGTGGAGGGTTATGACCCACAAAGCTGCAACTGAATCACTTGCAGCGAATTCTACTGGCCCTGCCAGAAACGACAAAGATTGATGTTGGGCCTTAATTGAGTGGCGTGATCATCATTCTGGCGACGTGTGTTTTACTGCCGCTGACAACCTTAGCCTGGGGTTGACTAGTATTTCCCTCGGTAAGTTACTTGAAACGCACAGTTTGGACTAGTTGTCTGTATGGGTGTGTTCTTTGCAATCAGAGAAATCGTTATATTTCTAATGAAATTTGGAATTAGATTGACGATAGGTAGAGAAGCTACCACCTAAAAAATGATTTCAATCACGGCTTCATTGTCTATGTCAGCTTTCAATAAGTGGATGGTATAGCGGGTCTGTGGGTTACGATCGTCGATCAGCAGCTCTCCTGAGTTTCGGAGGCATGGGCTCCATTAATCAAATCTATTTGACCAACCAGGAACGTGAAAAATCAAAGACATCAGTTGTCTTAAAGCTAGATATAATTATTTGCCCTATTCCAGCTAATCATAGCAATTGATACTGGAGCTCGCTAGACAGGTATTTACTACCAAGCTTAACCTCCTGACATTGCAGCCCACCACAATTATTCCGAAAAGCACCACTTTTGTCGTTAACCAATGATCCCCAGCGAATAATTGTATTCCTAAAGGCTATGCTATAGTCTAACCATGTTCATTGGCGAGATATCTTCGCATGCCCTTTTCTATCCTCTAACATCAAACATTCGGTATCCACAGTTACGGTACGATGGGATTTTTTTCAGTACTCAAGGTAAGGCTCTATCACATCTCGTCCACCATGTCATGGTTATCTAATCGTGCTAGACTCTAGCGATAACAGCAATAATTTCACTAATTTTATACCTTGTAATGTCATATGTCCTTGTGCCAGTGTGGAAGAGATATCGAGATCGTTACAACAGCTACCTACCTTTAAGTGCAATCTCCTCACAAACTAACAGTCTACGCCAGCGAACACAAGAGGCTCTTATAGAAAACTTTGTACCAACGACCTGGAGATCGCGACTTCATGGCCGGTATCAAGCAAGTGCAGACGATGGTAGCGATTTTGACGAAGACGATGGAGAGGAATTATATGAGGTAGAAAATAATCGGAGAGAAGAAATTTCTCTTGCTGCACAGAGTGGTCGGATTGAGAACAGAAGGCGCCTCAGCCGTGACCTCGAGGAAGGATTCAAAGATGATAGTGACAGCGACAGTGGCAATTATAACTACCTACAGCAGCAGACTCGCGTCGGAATAAGATGAGCTAAGGTCCACTCATCTAAAATATCGAAAAATTTCAAAAATAAAGTAATACACAAAGACGATAAAAAATACTTGCCATAGCACAGCTGCTCAGTTAAATAAAAATTCTAACAAGATTCTGAATGCCAGTATTGATGCGGCTCGCTACATCACTTGGCCTTCATTCTACGAAAAGGACCAGCACTGCACATCCAATTTGATCTGAAGGCACCCAGAAGCTTTAATGGGACTTGAGCTTAAGTTGTTGTATCTGGTGAAGAATCCAGGCCTTCGAATCAGAATCACCAAAGCCTTGAGCTCACGTGGGTTTGAAAAGCGGGTCTTCAGTTATTGAAGACTTAGCACCCTTTCCCTCGTGCTTCTAGCTCTGGAGTACATCATTAGATAGGGAGGAAGGTAAACAAAATTTATCTCGGCATTAAGTAGAGCGACTGAATTCTGAAAAGCGAAATGCGGAGCGGATGTGCGATAATAGTATTAAAGAAATTCACCCTGTTGGTCTTGTATTTTGTGAGAACCGAATACACTTTAAACCAGGCTGGCTTTTTTGCCTAATCCACCTTGAGTTAGCATCAATCAGCCTGATAAACAATGCATAAAGCACAGAGTTTGGCTTATTTTTCTTACCTATAACTTCTAGAGGAATTCTCGATGCATACTGTTAATGTTTTAGAGCCATCTACTGCAGCTTAACCCTAAAAAATCATTTTATGAGGGGAGATGAGAGATATGTATCTATAACACGACTCCTAGGTCACTATTCCAGTTTTTGTAGCTACAATTTTGCAGTTACCACAATCGTCTTGTGAAATATATTCCTATCCAATTCAGTTTGTTATACGAAACATGGTGCGTTTTCCATTTCATAGGGGACTGTAAGATGTATGGTCTGGATTAGAGAGCAGCACAATGTGCAGATAGTCATGGACTCAAATAGCAAACTAAATAAATACACACATACTTCTAAATTAAAGGTAAGGTCGGAAATAAACATTGGTTATCAGACTTATTTGGCCTGATATATTTGCTACGTCTATCGAAGTTCAATTGTCCAAGTGGGACGAGGTAATTTTTATTTATTTGCATCAGATTTGAATTGCGTACGCAGCTATCTAGCTATGACACAATATCAAAGAAAAGTACAGAAAATATGACTCAATGTAAAGGAAAAGCACTCATGTCTCGGATTTCATTTGCAAGTACCACTGCGAAGTTATGGTGGCTTTTTCTTCACCCCAAGTCAACCCTCATCCGTGAATACCCACCCAGAGGAAAGTCTCAAAACGTCTGAGTTATCCAGACATGCCTCCATCATCCATTATCTTTCCTCCGCGCGAGATATGGTCTTAGGCTTCTCTTTCCTAAGTGAAGTAGGTGCCCAGACTACCCAAACTTTACTGGAGAACACCACCAGGAGGCGGACCACAGCACCTTCCATCGTTGAGTTGTGTTAAGTGTCAGCTGCACTCGTAAGCGAAGTCCTGGCACGCGCAAAGCTCAATCCGTGAAACTCCTCGCCAGAATTCAAAATTATATACCCGTCGTGATTGTATCCATCCACCGTGTCATCTTATAAACTTGTACTGATCACTCTCACGTCCATCCCAAAGAACTATCTCCCAGGTTTGTGCGCCACGCTTTGCTTCCTCCGTCAGGTGTAAATATCGGCGTGGGCGTGTATTCGGTGAGCAGCTGAGGCCAGAGAAGGTTGACAAGAGGTGTGATCATTGGGATGAGGATGTAATTGGTCGAACTTGTGGACTTGATGAGAGTTAGGTAGGAGCTAGACTCGTTAGAAGCGAAAAAACGACAAAGTGGAGTATTTTGAGTTGTTGCGTCGTGGGCCAATTTTTTCGGTATTGCAAAATCTGAATGAACTTGGCTCTGGAAGAAAATTTCACTCCCAGATGCGGAGAGGACACCGCGTACAGGTGTTCAGCATTGGTCCTCCCTCTGACCTCTTCGTCTGCTGTTCCCCGCATATTTGCGTCATTTGGGCAAGATCTATCATCCTTTAAATTACTCGAATTACCCCTCTCTATTTTCTATTGCGGCTTGATTTTACCACAGGTAGACTGGAATGTTGTCCGAACAGGTAGGTCATTTAAGATGCTAAAATTTTGGAGTCTTTGTTATCTCAAGAAGATATTGATGGGTAGGGTGACTATTTTATGTTCTATTACTCTTGTGCTAGTGAGCTTGTAGGCTCCGGTGATGATTTTGAGGCAATTCCTTTGCATATCTCTGAGAGGTTTATCGATCATCTCTGGTATTTTGCCGCCCAACCCGACATTGGTCGAGAGAGGTGACCCATAGATTAGTGCTGGCAACGGTATAAAAGTCGCGCTGATGGCATAAAATAGCAGTCTGAAATAGTTTCGGTATAGAAAGCTTTGCCGTTTGGATGTCAAAAGGTAATTTATTTTTTAACTGAAGACCAAAACTTATGGTATATCCAGCATTTTATTTGTACTCAAGCTCCTCCTATCCAGAAGACTAGTAGCTGTTCCTCGGTGTAGCCCTTATTATTAGGTTGTAACCTCGTTCAAGACAATGCTGTAAGCATGAGCAGTGCTCCACTTTGAATAAAAGCGCGACTTACCGTCCTTCTATAACCGAGTGGCATAACTATGAGCTGGGTTATTTATGTTTGTTTGTTTGTTTGTTCATTAACGTGCTAGGTGAAGTAACTACCGTCGCACTCCTACTGGAGCTTGAGCACGAGTGGGGTCGGGCCGGATCAGGTTAACTACCGTAAAGTACAAGTGCCTCGTCCCACCTCAATGACCGGAACCATGCCGAAACGCATCTATGTGTTGAAGCATGACGAGTACAGCAGCCCAGAGTTGAAAACAAAACAAAAGAAAACTTCCACGCAAAGTCCTGCATTACAAAAGAAAAAACTTTGACAATCTCCCTTCCATCGTTCCGCCTCGGCCACCACGCGCCCGAGCCTCGATTCCTATCCCTACTTCCATGCCAGATCACCTAGGCTTTCGTTCATCACCTCCGAGTCACAGGTATCCCTGCCATCCCCCGGCTAGCCTCCGCGTATATTCCGCTCTCCTGGACATAGTCCCTGAACAGTTGCCACCCGCTTGATCCGAGCATTGTTTCTATAGCTGGCGCCCTTCGCCTTCCGCTTTTCAGCCGCCATGTTGCCAGTGCTTTTCGACACTGAAAAAGGTGACCGATTGATTTTTCTCTCCCACACTCGCAGTGAAGTGTAGCGTCAGTGTGGTTGAAGCGGCGATGATAAGCCGCGAAGTCTCCATGTCCGGTTCGAGCGGCTATTAAGCGAGCGTAGACTGCCCTTGTTAGTGCTAGTTCTGGCGGTTTCTTGCGTCGAATCTCGAGTTCGAGGTCTGCATAATGTCTGGGGCGATTCGAATGCCACCAGTCTGTAACCATCTGTCTGGCCAGTTCGCGAGCTTTCCTTCCGGAAGAGGCGAGGGTCATCACCCCATGTGTCGTCCTCGTATCGTCCGACGAGTTAAGCTCTCTTCGAGCGAGCTCATCAGCCATTTCATTTCCTACCAGCCCTTCGTGGCCCGGGATCCATCCTACTTTAACAGGTGCTGCTGCTCTAGCGACCATTTTGCAGAACTTTTGAATCCTCCAGGATGATGAGCTTGTTGTTCCCGTTAGTAAGGCCTGGACAGCCGCAGAATTGTCGAGCAGAATATAGATGGCGCTACGACCACGATCTCGCTTCCTGCTAGTGATTGCTTCAAGAGCAGCTAGAGCTCCATGAACCTCCGCGTCGTAGACCTCCGCATTGGTTATTTTGCCTGAGCCGCTTTGCTCAATTACCCTGCCTGTGCCACTGATAAAAGTCACAAAGGCCCATGACACTTTGTCGGTGGACGCCCCAGAGCCATCACTGTACACGCAAAGACAGTCGGGTGGGAGAGTAGGTAGCCACTCTCTTATAAACCTAGCTGCTTCTTTCTTGCTTGTCCAGCGGGGAATTGGCTGAGGGGGGGCCGGAGGTCGGAGCGTTGGAGGTAGTTCGGCCTCTGGCAGGAGTCGATACATCCTCTGGACCCTTGAATCATGCACTCTGTCGAAACCAAGTCTGGTTTTGTTGCATGTCTTTAGGCCGAGTCGGTGACGAGCGCTGTCTGTGCTTTCCGTGGCCCGAAGTCGAAGCGGATGGTACTCATCTAGTGTCCGGATTCGTGCGGCAGTCTTGAGCCTGCGTTCCTCGAGCAGAATGTGTGCTGGCGGAATACCAGTCTCTCTTCTCAGTGCTGCAACAGGCATCGTGCGCCAGGTTGGTAGAGCCACGCGGATTCCGAAGGCAGAGGTTTGGTCGATGACTTTGCTCTGTCTCTTGTAGGAATTACGCGTCACACCTCGATAAGTTTCCCTGGTTGGCCCCGGGCACCAGACCTCCGCTGCATGCATCGCGATTGGCAGAACTACCGTGCGAATGACTGTGGTTAGTAAGTCAGGCCTTGGTCCCTGGGTGCACTGAGTGAGCCGTCGGAAGTGCTGCACTAGCCGCATTGCTTTGCTGGTCCACTTTGCGACGTGACTTTCGAAGGTCAGACCGCGATCAAGGTGTACTCCGAGCCATCGGATATCGTCGGATGCTTGTACATCGCGAGTGCCTACCCTTATAGCCGGAAGTTCGTGTCCCCTGGATCTTGGGCCGACGAAGTAGACTACTTCGGCCTTATCTGGGTCGAAAGAGACGGCATTTTCAGCAGCCCACCCTAGGACTGCATCGACTTCTCTCTGGACAGCTACTGCGGCTTCAGTTGGAGTTGAACCTATGCCGAGGATGGCAACATCATCTGCATAGCCAAATCTCTAACTACTGCCTCCCACGACTTCGGCCATGTAGAACAGAAAAAGAATTGGGGAAAGAGGCGATCCTTGTGGCAGCCCGCATTCTAGGAATACCGGGTCTGTGACTCCGTCTTCGTGTCGTACGCGAGCAGATCGTTCTTGTAGGAAGGACTTTATCCAGGTGATAGCTGGTTTAGGCCACC